CCCTAGCTCAATTACAACTCGGGTCTGGGATTTACAAAGTGGGTCGTCTTGAGTGAGGTCATGATGAATTGTCTTGAGAGGCAGCCAATAGCTGCAGAATGGACATGAAAAGATTAATGATATCCAGATATATGTTCAGGGCCGCTCCGATGTAATCATCAGGCGATAATTGCACCTCACCATTGCCTACTAGCAATTGGGTGTCGACGAGAATATAACCTGAGAATATTATTGCACCACCGCCGCTCATCAATAAGTCTCCTCCGGGTAAAGACGGCCATATCATTCTAACTAAACCAACGCCAAGTAGAACACATAATCCGATAGTTAAGAATCCATTCATGAATGTCAAATCGTACTTGGTTTGCATGCTAAAGAGGAATAAGTAACAACCTCCCAATCGTTCCCTCCCAATCGTTCCCTCCCAATCGATCTTACGCAAATATTGTGAGTCCCACTACTGCCACCAAAGTCAGCACCAGAGCTTCTAATACCACTACAGAGTTCACGGCGACAGCCACGTATGCGCACGCGTTCGCAACAGTAGCGCTCATGCATACTGTCAGCGCGAAAAGTAGGCCCATGTTCAGAGGGTACTTCGTCCTCGCGCTAGGCACGCAAGCCAGCCCCAAGATCAAGCCAAAAGCCGCTATACCCAGAAATCCAAACAGGAATCGACCGCTTCCAGCCAAACACCAGATGCGAGCCCGCTCATTCAACGTGAAGTAGCCCGAGATAATCGTAGTCAACAATACTTGACACGCTACGATTCCGTACACCTTACGCACAAACCCATTCCGCATCTGCGCTTCAATCTTGTACGCTCCATCTAACTAAACCACAATCAATCCTCGCGCTGCCCGTTTGCTCACGTTCGGTTCATCGTCCTCATGCAATGCAATGAGCGACTCTGGGTCATATGCTTGTCGCATTTTTGTAATTAAAAAAGCATCAAAGTAGGTTCTCTAATCACCCGAGAATCCAAGATCACCCGAGGAAACCAAAAATGATGTTCACCATCAGGGAGCACGCAATCTCCACTGCTGACCAGAATGAAAAATCAGAATAGCTAGCGCGGTAACTCGCCACCTTCATAGCCATATGTGTCAACACTCCAAACATCGTCGCTGGGCGTGACGCCTCCTCCGGGGTAGTCGTCAGCATCCCCAAATCCTTCGTACGCGTTGTCCGCCAATTAGTCAACCCCCGACCAAGGATCTTCGCTTTTCTTATATGCGCCAGTCGGTCCATGGATACGCCATACGTATAATCCCACGCACGGACCGTCTCCTCCATCACTGCAGCTGCCAACGAATCGTCCGGACAGCCCCCGAAAATGCTCGACCCGCTCTGAGACGACTCTGATGCAAACAACCCTCCATACGAGGAGGCACTGGAGCCATCGTCACAGTCAGACCCAGATCCTTTAAACAAGTCACCCGAGAAGCGTCGTGGGTCTTGCAGCTCTATACACTCTGCCAAATCTTGCGCAGAGCCGGATACGCTCCTGTCATCCTCCTCCTCAGGTGGCACCTGCTGCGCTTGCGGTAGCAATTCAGAAAGTACCTCCTCTGTCCGATCAAGCTGCGTCTGCTTGTGAGATTTCTCGACCGCCGGTGTGGGAACCATACCAGAGAGCGCAGACACTGGCTCTTCATCAGCGATTTGTGCGGTCGTTTGGAAAGGCTTGACGCTGTCCACCGCTTTGTTCAGCTCCGGCCAGGAATAATCTCCTGAACTGGCCACCGTGTCTCGCTCCCAAAACGCAGAAGCTTCAACGATCTCCGAATCTCCTCGAGGCAACCCGATCACCGTGCCAGGACGCGCCGGTAACTTGAAGAACCGCGGAGCCACGTAGCTGTCCGGACCTTCGTCGTTTTGAATCCACTCCTTGACATTGACTACGCTCTCAAAGGACTCGTCGAACATCTTGTAATCCATCACCACCTTAAACTGGTCCGAAAGAGGAAAGGTCAGCTGTGCGGGCGTGTGGAACTGATACTTAACCGCGGCCCCAGCAGCGATCAACGAAGCGACGTCCACCTCATAATGCAGGTGCCGCGTGGAAACCAAATTCGCAAAATGCACCGGATTCAACCTCGTGTGCTCGATAGCAGCGCTTTGACCCAAGCGCTCGAGCCAGTCCAAATTTATGGCGATTGCCGAGAGAGAGCTGCTTTGCCAAGCCTGTTCACTCGCCTTAGTTACCGCGTCGGCCTCTTCGTTGACGTACATAAACAGCAAAAGGCGAGATGCCGTGTAAAGGCCAGCAGGCAACGGCAGAGTCTTATTTCGTGCCTCAATCTCCTTGAGCAACGCTGTTTTATAGGAGCCTCCGTCCACAACTAAGCCGAGGGCATACCCAAGGTTCTGCTCGGTGTTCTTGACAGCTGTCACGGTCAATTCGTTCCCGGTGAACGTAGGAATGGGGCCTCCTACGGTATGCCCTACTGTCACGTGGAGGTAATCCGCCAGGCACTGGCAAAGAGCTTTGAAAACCCCTTCGCCGCTCTCGGATGAGCTTGATATCCCGCTCTTCATAATTTTTATTAAACTGCTACGGGTAATCCAGTGAGGTCGCTCGACCCAGCACGGTCCTCCGGGATCCAGGCCTTCACAGTGTTGATTGCCTCCTTAAACGGCTGCGATGCCTTTCCAACCAGACTGACCAAATGGTCCATGTCCTTTTGGATGTTGATTCGCCCGGTCACTTGGTCCGCATGTCCTTCCAAGGCCGCAGGAACCGCGGACAGTGCCTTGTACCATTCACTCATTTGATCAAACAGATTCTTAGCGTTATGGGCCAGACCTACGGCAACAGCCGCTGGCTCGACATTCTCCACGTCGTATAATTTAATTGGCGAATTCTCCTTGATCCATGAAAAAAGCTTGCTTGATGCCTCCGGGACCTTCTTCAATGCTGCGCGCCTCTTTATCGGTCTCAGATCTACAAATCCGAAAGGACATGTCCCCTTATCATGATTCGGCGCCAGAGCGGGCACAATATGCGTAGCAGCCTCAACCGTGTACTTCACCATTTGGTCTGCCATCCCACCCAACCGTCGAGGCATGGATCCGGCAAAGTATTCGTATTGCTCCGGCAGCATTGACAGCGATTGCTCTAGCGCCATTTCCGGGGTAACTCTTAAATTCCGGTAGCCGGTTGCAGGGAAAATGTTTGGCAGAAACTCTTCTGTGGTTTTGTGAACAAACTTTCGTACCTGATTCGCTCCAAAATTCATCATCGCAAGCGGATTCAGTAAAGAAGGGACACCCTCCACCGCGACCTCATCGGGGTCCTCGAAACCCATAAGTACCTCGCTGCAGAGATATTTGCGAGGAGGAGGCAAATCTCGACAACAGTCGAAGCCCGGCCCGCAAACATCAGGGTACACCTCACATTCGTTCAGGTTAACACACTCGTAGCTACCAGAATTCGTCCACCCCTTCTTCTCGGAGCACTCGCAGCGGTAACTTCCCTTCTCATTCACGCACTCAGAAATATCTAGCGGACAATTATGATCGCCAGTCCGGCACTCATCAATGTCGACGCAGCTGACACCATCATCAGCGAGCTGGAAACCTTCCCTACACAAGCATTCCGCGCCATCCACGCCATTTATGCAAACTCCATAATTCTTGTCGCAATTATTGTAGTCTGGGTCAGCACAGAAATCCTTAATCACGCACCGACCATTAGAATATTCCTGCCGCGGATCCGAACAAGCGCAAGTGAAAGATCCTGGCAAATTAACGCAGGTGGCACCCTTGTCGCCACATATAGATTCGTCCAGGCACTCGTTGATGTCCCTGCAGTGCTGGTCACCAGGACGTTTAGCATATCCGGACTTACAATGACATTCGTAGGCGCCGTACGTATTGAAACATCTTTCAGACTCGGGAAGGCAACTATGAGCGTGTTCCATGCACTCGTCGATGTCGTGGCAGCCATCCCCATCTTTCCGTCCGTCGCCACTGAAGCCTTGAGGACATATGCAAAATGGCCTTCCAATGATTGGCGCCGCGGGATCTATGATGCACGTTGCTGAGTCGACGCAGGGATTATCTCTCTTGCATAGGTCTCCGACCAGGGGGAGACCCATAGCCTCGCATGCAAGAAAAATGGCTGCCACCTTTAACAAAAGCAATCCCTGACTGGCTTTCATCAGCTCGGACACGCGTGTGTGCGCGCGCGATTAAACTTGATCCGCGGTCGCTACCGTGAAAAGTGATATGAAATCGAAGACTATGGCATGTGTTGCTCCTCCAGAAATCCTCGTGAGGAAGCAGCCCTCGAATCTCTGTATATCTCATTCTCAGGAGGGGCCGGATCCAAGTTGAAGCAGCACATATGTTTTGATCCATAAAGCAATCTGTGATGGGTTCCAGGGAGACAGTTGGTTCTCTAATGGCCTCGCGGGTGGCCGGTAGGTCTATGATGACATTTAGGGTTTGTGCCAGGTGGGTCACTTCCTGAGGTGGGTTGCTCCTTCATCTGCTCCTATTCATCCTTCGCTCTGCGGTTATACTGCGAGTGGTGCGCTCTCATGATAGTCCAATTTTTTTTCAGCCGCTCTCTTGTTATCTTCCAGTTTCGTAGGCGGGTTGCAACGATCTTGACTATTGCAACTCAAACAATGTATACGGTAGTCATATTGCTATTTTCAGACTCATGTGTGCTTTGCGATCTGACGTCGTCTGCGTACCGCGTTGCTGCTCGGCTCCGTGGTCCCACACTGACAACGTGGTCTAGATGGAGCACTGACGACCAGGCGGACTGAGGCGGACTTCGGACAGCAACGGGGTTGTTAATACGAGAGTGTGTCCAAAATTCCCACCAGCGTTACGTTTTGCTGCCATTCCGCCAACCACGGAACGAATGTTTGACGGAAAAAATGGACGCGCCAATAATATTATTACACAAAAAGGGAGTAATAAAACGAAGCACAAACGCGTCCTAGCTGTAGTCATCAGAGAGTATGCACGGAGAGATGCTTGACGCCAATGACGCGCCGCGGTGCATCTCCGCAGCCCACCCCATTAATGATTTCGACGGGGTGACGATTTAGTAACGTCTGCCTCGCGAGCGGTTCTTTCGATTTCTTTCCTTGTCTTCTGCAGCTGCGCTGATCTCGGCGAGCATTCTCAGCAATTCTATGAAGAGGTAAATAATGTCCATATATATTGCCATGGTTAGGAAAACGTGATTATCGACATCCGGAGTGCCTTTCTTGAGAAGCCGCCAAACGTCGAAGACGAGGTAGGCGCAAAACAGTATGCCCGCTAATCCCGCCTCGACAATTGCGATCCACGCAACATGTTCCCGCAGGAATATGATCTTCAACAGTCCCAGTAGTGTAAAGCAGAGGGATCCGACCATTAAAGCATGATACCAGCGAAACGGAGCGTGGCGCATTCCGTGCGCGGCACCAGTCGCTCCGATAACCGCCGCAATCGTTCCGACGAGCACCATTAGAACTCGCGCATGGCCAGAACCGCCAGATAGCCTGGATCCAATATCGTATGCGGAAAGCGACGGCGGCCACCCGTACACTTGGGGGACGCCTCTCCAACCTCCGACCACCTCAGCAAATACAATTCCGGAGAGGAGTAATGACTGGATTAAAGTCACTACTCCAAGTAGTATGTTGCCTGAAGGCTGGTTCCGGCTTAGAGACGGGCAACATGTAAAAAGCAGCCAGAGCACCCCCCACGCACCGCCAGCGAACGTCATCATGAGATTCAAATTCCTGGCAACCAGCACCGCGGGAATCAAATACACCGTCGCGGCCACAATGGAAGCCGTCGCCAGCAACTGGTAGCAAACCGTCGTGAAGACCTTCCGTATCAAGTCTCGGCGAATCCTTGCATCTATTTTTGATGCAACCGTCTCGTACTAAGACAAAATACGGTTATTGAGTTCAGTCATGGGGCATTTTCTGCTTACCTGCTCGTCGTACATTTTTTATTGCACACACGTGTGCACTAATCCACCAAACTGGACTAAAATACACTTGGTCAGCGAACCCAACAAAAGCAGCTAGAACAAGAAGAAACTGGATAACAAGCTGATTAAGCTGCGAAATATTGTTACCCATATTGTTGCTTAGCTGACGAATTACTGTCATTACCGCGACAACACTTTGTTTCGATGGTTCATGGGCAGACTACACAACCAGATGATTTAGGGCCATATCTGGCGTGTACTCAAGACGGTCTATGCCGGGGTTGAAAAAAGATCCATGTAGTTATCGGGATGAAGCGCAGCTAGCGACTCAGGCGATTGTCAAATGATTGTTGAGTTCGAAATCCGAGAAAAATACAGCGCCAAACCCGTTCCCTCTAACCATAAACGTGCAATAAAAAGAGCATAACATTCACCACAGCACAACACACGATCCCCGAAAAATCTGAATATTCTGTTCGGTAGTTGGCTACCTTCATGGCCATGTGTGTCAACACGCCAAACGTCGTTGCTGGCCTGACGGCCTTTTCCGGTATCGTTGTCAACAAGCCCAAGTCCTTGAAACGAGTCGTCCGCCAGCTAGTCAGTCCCCGACGCAAGATCTTTGCTTTCCTTATTTGTGCCAGCCGGTCTGCGGGGACGCCATACGTATAATCCCAGGCACGGATAGTCTCCTCCACCACGGCAATCGCAAACGATTTCCTCGGACACACCGCCGAAATATTCGGCCTTCCCGGCATTTGCATTCCCTCGAAAGGAGAAGAACCCTGCTCAACAGGCGTTTGCTGTAGAGACTCCTGGATCGCCGCAGCAGTACCCACACCCGGACAAGCAGGGTCTTCAGCGACCTGCGTTGTTGCACAAAAAGACTCAATTGTTTCAACCACTCGATCCAACGCCGGCCAAGAGCCAGTTTCTGACCCCAGTGTCCGAAACGCTGAAGCTTCAACGATCCTCGAGTCTCCTCGCGGCAATCCGATCACCGTACCAGGACGGGCCGGTAACCTGAAGTAACGCTGAGACACGCAGCTGTCCGGATTTTCGTGGTTTTGCATCCACTCCTTGAATGATCTATCAAAAGGTTTATCGAACATATTGCAATCCATCATGACCTTGAACCGCTCAGAAAGAGGTGCGGTTAGCTCCCCAGGTGAGTGGAACCGGTACTGAACCGCGGCTCCAGCAGCTATTAAAGAGGCAACATCGACCTCGTAGTGTAAATGGCGCGTGAAAACAGAGCCCGAAAAATGCGCCCCGTTCACTTTCATTTGCTCGATAGCCGCGGTTTGACCCAGACGCTCGAGCCAGTCCACATTGACAGCAACGGCCGATAGAGTACTGCTCTGCCAGGCCCGCTTGCTGGTCTTAGTCACCGCGTCAGTTTTTTCGTCGACGTATATAAAGAGCAGAAGGCGAGACGCCATGTAGAGGTCAGCAGGTAATGGCAGTGTCCTGTTCTGCGTTTCAATCTCTTCAAGCAACGCCGCCTTATAGCAATCTCCACCAACCACCAAGCCAAGTATGTACCCGAGGTTTCGGCCGGTGTTCCTAATGGCCGTGACAGTCAACTTGTTTCCCGCAAAACTAGGAACCGAATTCTTTACCGTATGCCCTACGGTTACATGAAGATAATCGGCCAAGGCCGGAGGTAGAGAACCGTGATCACTTTGCTCGTCGTCTGGTGAGCTATTCCCAGGGTTCATGATTTTTTTTATGTCCCGAGAACCCGCGAGACCCCGTTCCTCAAAGGCCGCGAGACCAGAACCTCGCGTAAAGAAGGTACCGGCGAGGATTGTCCTGATATGGGAGGATCGCTAGTGCTGGTTCTCGTCTGAGTTGGTCCCAGTACGAACGTCTTTTGGGACATAAAAAACATCGGGCATATTTGGGACAACACGCGCACGTTTGCAGCGCATCACTAGGCGCATCACTAGGGAGAGACGTTTTCACGGGTTGAAACCAGGACTCCAGAAAATGCTACCAACCCAAAGAGATCTCCCTCCTTCCTACGAGGCCTTTCCCAGTGGCGGAGAGCCCAACAAACCTACGCCGGAGTTCTTCCCCAGTGGGGCGGGAAGAATTACGGAACATTTTAATGGCCAGGTCCGGAACCGCAACATCTTAGCCCGCTGATTGGTATGACGAATTCGGATCCACGGAATTCGGATCCACGGAATTCGGATCCACGAAAAAAGCTTGCTAAACGCTTCCGGTCCTTTTCGTGGATCCTAGACGCACACACCCCCAGGTGCGAACGCCCCAAAGGACACGTCCCCTATCGTCGTTCCGTGCGTGAGCAGACTCACTCGACCCTAACGAGTAGCGAGCTCGACCCTAACAGAACATACGGCCTTTCAATGATTGGCGCCGCGGGATGCATCCTACTCGGTCGATGCACGGATAATTTTGTTTGCATAAGTCCTTCACCAGTAAGAGACGCATAGTAGCCGTGCAGCATGTAAGACTCTGATCGATGAGAGTGTGTATTAGACTCGATGAGTGGCCGCAAGACAAGGAACAGACATAAAATCAAAGACTACGGTATGTGCTTGCTCGCTTAATGTAAATCCTTGTAAGAAAGCATCCCTCAAATCACCATAAATTTTGTTTTCCTGAGTATCCAAATTAAAAGCACTGCATACACTTTGAACCAGAGAGGAAACCGTTATGGGCTCCAGAGTAACAGGTGCTTCTGTATTTGTCTCGTTGTTAATTAATAAGTCAGTTATGAGATTTGATCTTGCGCTAGGTGGATCACTTTTAGGTTGATCATCTACACCAAATAATTCCTCCTCTTCTTCTTTCTCTCTACGGACATAGATGGTGTGGTAATAAATTTTACCTTTGTTCGGCAGCTCTTTTTTGTTCCTCTTCTTGTTTCTGCTGTTTGATTTTCATAGATAGATCTGCCACGGCCTTTTTAGTAATCGCTGACCATTCTAACTCAAATTTGTGAGTTGTGAGCTCCGGAACGGTCCTTTTATGTAGTCCTTTGAAAGCTGCCTTGGCTGATTTAAGAGATTTATAATCAATGAACATACGAAGATCCTTTTTTTCGCTTGGGAATCTGATCCCTTCTCCGGCTAGGGGTCCATCTAAATAAAGTACGAAATTAAATTAGCTAATCAGGGTGGGCCCGGCCGGAATAGAGTAGTGGTAGGGTAGGATTGTTGGTAGGGTAGGATTGTTGCTAGGGTAGGATTGTTGGTGTGCTAGAATTGTGTGCTAGAATTATGTACACTTCTGAAAGATAGACTTGATTTCTGATGCGTCCAGATACGGTGGTCGTCTTTTACAAATGAGTGTAAAACTTTGGATCATAATTTATTTTTCGTTCTATGTCTGAATTCCGGTCTGACGTGTCATCTACGTACTACACAACCGCTCGGCTGGTTGGTGAGCGGTGTACGGACGACATCATTAATAAAAGTCGAGCCAGCTCCGACACGTCGGACAGCAATCGGTTTATTAATACCAGAATGTGTGTATTCCATCAGCGAGGGGCCTGTACCAAGGGTGCTAATTGCACCTATGCTCGTAAGTACGCGTGCGCGCGAGATGTCGCACGTGCGTGCGCATGATCCTGTCTTGCGCACGTTCGAATCGGGGCCCAATGCTGGTCTGGGGTCAGCTCCGGCCTAGGTCATTGCTGGTAGGGGGACGGGACGTGTGGGATGAGGTTTATGGGGACGGGACATGTGGGATGAGGTTTATGGGGACGGGACGTGTAGGATGAGGTTCATGGGTTGCTGCCTGCTTGCGGGTTGCTGCATGCTTGCGGGTTGCTGCCTGCTTGCAAATAGCTACCTGGGTCCGGGGCGTGTTGTTGGAGATATGGTTGGCATGTGTGTAGACACTAAGGATGAGCTAAAGAGGGCCCCGAATCTGCTTAAGACTCGTCTTTGTCAGGACTGGTTGAATGGTAGCTGCACTACGACGGATTGTAAATTCGCGCATGGAAGACAGGAGTTGAGGTTCACTCATGACTACTACAAGACGAAGTTGTGCCACTTCTGGCAACAGGGCGGCTGCACGAAGGGGGACTTGTGCAGACACGCCCACGGCGAATCGGAGTTGCGGCCTGCACCCGACGAGATGGGCTGCATCGCGTCTAGCACGACGCGCACATCCAGCAACAATCGCATGGGCACTGCGAGCGATGAGGAGGACGACGCGGAGGACCTCATGATGGTACCGCACCCCGACAGTCCGGACCAAACACCTACCGCAATGTCGGTCGCACCCGACACTCCGGCCACACTGCCAGATGCGGAGGTGGTGCGGCCGGAAATAGACCTGGGCGATGTCACTCCCTTCCCGACGACCGCTCCTTTCTCCACGACATCTCCCCTCCCGAATAGTGGGGGTGTGGTGGACAGGTCAGGTGGTGTGGACAAGTCTGCTGGAAAGCAGGCCAGCGTATGTAAGAAAAGATCGAGCGGCGGCAGGGCAGGTGAGAGGAAGGGCAAGCTGACTTCTGGTATCAGGGATATAGAGGGCATGCCACCGCCGGATGAGAAGCCGCCTGAGCGAACGCCCACGGTGACGTTCTGTGTTAGTTCCTCGTCCTTTGCGGCGATGTTGCCTTCCAAAAAGTCCCGCGGCACAAGTGCCCATCCCACTGGTCATATTAGAACGAGTGGAAATGAAGCCGGAAGTCAAAGTAGTACGACGTCGTCGATGAGTCTGTCCAAAAAATCCGATGTCGCTGGCGACCGCATAGCCTCTGGGGGAGACAATGCTTCGTTGAGATCCGGACCTCATAAGAAGGACAAACGAGAGTTCAATCTAAAAGAGGATAAGTGGGCGACCAAAGGTCACCCATCACTCAAACAGAGCAAGGGACAGAACAAAGGGCATCCTAGTGTCCGAGCGCATGATGACTACCTACACGCCGACGGAGGGGAGATCGTCTACTTAAACAATCATATGATGAGCAAGGACTCAAACAATCGCACGAATAAACCCGTGAGTCACCAGATGACCGCTGCCCTTCGGGGAGGACCGTTTGCTGCTCACGCAGGGGAGACTCCGCAGCGGGGGGCTCCACAACGCGGGGGGCCTGCCCCACGTGATGCAGGTGGGGATTCATCTGACCGCAGGATCGCCTACTTGGAAGCGCTTAGGCTTGCTGAGGTTGCTCGAGACTTGGCGAAAAAGTCAAGCGAGCTTTTGCAGCAAGCCACGGGTGGCGAGTGGGACTCTACGGCGGTGGGTTCTCCGTTATACGTGAACGCGTCCCAGTCGACCAGTACGTCTCAGTCGACTAACATGTCCCAGTCTCAATCTCACAATCTGGCGGATGTGCAACCGTTCCTCGACGGTGTCGGGTATCCAACATCCGCTGCTTCGGGTACTTTAGATTTGCAGTCGTTAATGCAGAACTGCTCGGCAGCAGCATTACAAACCAGTGGGTCGTCGCCGTCTAGGTCGTCGCCGTCTAGGTCGTCGCCGTCTAGGTCGTCGCCGTCTAGGTCGTCGCCGTCTGGGTCGTCGCCGTCTGGGTCGTCGCCGTTTGCGTCACCTCCTGCTGCTAGGTCGCCGACCTCGAGATCTACGGGATCGTTTGGGAAGAAGCCTCACGGTGGACGGACACCGGGGCAATCCGTTTTGCCAAGACCCCCTGCGCCGCGAACGGGATCTGCTTCGCAAGCGGAGAACGCCGCAACTGACGGCTACGGGTTTGTGCCCGTGCTAGAAGACGCAATGATACCAGTAGGTTCTTTCGGTGGAAGTTCGTTCGGCGGAACACCGTTAGATGGTGTGGATCCAAGACCGTTAGGCGCTAGACCGTTAGGCCAGCATCGGTATAGCGCGTTTGTACCGAACTTCAAACAACAGCAAATGTGGGAACAAAGAAATTCCGCGCCTGAATGCGACTTAGATCGCTTGGCTGCGAAACTCAACGAATTCCTTATCAACGAGGGGGAGACACCACTCTACGAAGATACTCTAAAATAAGCCTTTCTGCATTTCTCTTATTTGTATTGTAACTAAATTATTATTGAGATTCGTAAGTCTACATTCAAAGCCGCAGGATCTCCAAGACACTTAAACCCCCCCCCCCTCTGGTGTATCCCCCCCCGCTCTTGTTTGTCCCCCCCCCCCGCTCTTGTTTGTCCCCCCCCCCCCCGGTGCATCCTGCTATTACATTGTGGCCGTCCTGTTAGAGTATAACTTGTTCATTTAAGATTTCCGCAGTAATCATTTTGTATGTCTTTTTTAAAATGGGAATTCTTAATCAGGACCAGTTCCTGGAAAAAGTCAAATCGTTCGTATCTAATGGCCACAGACCTCAGAACTCAATATGGCTTACAGTCAAATCTAGTAAGCAGTAACGAGGTGTAGGTTGAGGTGTAGGTAGTCGTTAACAACCATGGCCGGTACCATGGCTAATATCCGCGGTTGATGACGTGACACCCGTCCTACGGTACAAGATGGGGACAGAAGTGATGCGAAGAAGTGGGAAAATAGTGGGCGATACCTCATGAGTAATATTGCAGGTGTGGTCGGTAGTAAGCAGTACGCAATGATTCGAGCTAAGACAAGTTCCAAACGGTATTCGACATTGGTGGCGAAGGAGGATGTGGAAAAATTCATCAAAGGATTATCAGATCTGTTTGTTGAATTGGAGAAGCACTTGCGAAAAATACACGTGGCAAAACCAGGACGGAAACGCGTCAATCAAATACGCATTTTGCGCAAGAGCCGACAGGAGATGAAAGACTCCGATACAGAGGAGGACGAGGAGCCTGCTTCACCAACTGACGCCTAAGGATATGACGCCTAAGGATATGACGCCTAACATATGACGGTTAGAGCGTGATGCCCAAAGTGTGTGAAGAATGGAGTTAGGCCGAGTCGGGTGGGGGTGCTGGGCAGGGTGTGTGGCGCGGAGGTGCGATATCGAACACAGCTCGGATGTATCCCGCGGAGTATCAGCAGCGCCAGAACGGCGTGTTAGGACAATTCGGTTTGTTGAACAGTCACCCGTATGATCGCCAGCCAGTCCGGCCGGGCTACGGTCTGCATCCGTTCTTATTGGCGGGCTTTGCAGTTGCTCTGGTTTGCTTGGTACTGTACTTCATCCGGGCCGACGACGACCCGGCTCCCAGACGGAGACGCCGCAGCACTCGGCAGAAACTCTACCGGCCCCCGGACCTTGGGCATCAGTACTTCGGCCAGCCCCCGGTCAACCATGTCGCGGCTCACCCTCATTTTGCTCCTCGTCCGCAGTTTGTTCAGCCACATCACTATGTCCAACCACAATATGTTCAACCGCAATTCGCGAGGATGCCGCAGGGTCCAGGACTCATGGCTATCCACCCTGCCCACAAAGCACCAGCACAGCAAGTTACCCCAGTCGTACAACCAAATCCATACAGCAACCGCGGCTCCTATCAAATTGCTGGGATGATGCCCAACTGATTACTCTCTGCGAATGTACTGAATTCGTTGTCCTACGACGATGGTATCGGATGACCAGGAATCATGTTCGGTCGAGTGGCCGTGCAGAACGTCGAGCGTCGCTTACGGAATGGCCAAGTGTCTTGCAGAGCGGCCAAGTGTAGCGGCCAAGTGTCTTACAGAGCGGCTAGAGTGCGAAACTATAAAGATGGTTTTACAAAGAGTTGCCCTGTGGCAGCACGGATTGTCCGGTCGCTGTTGCTACTACGGCCGATGTTGCCGCGTTTGTAGCTTTTCACTTTTTACCAAAAAGGATGACCCCATGTTCGATGCGTTACTCCGATGCGACAGATTACGGGATGCGACAGATTACCGGGAGCGTTCCGTTTGCTGCTGTGCGATCACTGCTGTGCGATCACTGCTGTGCGATCACTGCTGTGCGATCACTGCTGTGTGTTCACACGCATGTCACAGTGATCGCTGCTGTTTGCACACGCACGTCACAGTGCTGTGTGCGATGGAGTCACTATTGTGTATCTGTGTGTTTGGCTGCTTGTGTGTTGTTGGAAGCGTAATCGAAGGCCTGTCTGGTCCACTTGGTTTGGTCGTAGCCTGCGGAGATGGTGCCTCTGGCAGTGGCAGGTTTGCCGCCGGACTTACACGTCATGCCGTCTGCGGCTTTTTGGAGCCACTCAGCGGCATTTAGTGGGTTGCTCTTAGGGACGGTGGCCATGACGGCGGGTGTTTGCGTTTCGGGTTCAGTGGAGAGTAAGATGAGAGGGACGGCGAGAGTATCTTGGAACCTATTAGTGAATTCTTCCATGGCTTTAACGTCACCACCAAGGCTGTCTTCGACGATAACGCTCCAGCGGTATTGACCGGCTATGAGCATTTGTACACATTCGTCGGCTTTGAGCACGGCTAGTTCTTTGCGTTGCTTAGCAAGGATTTTAGTCAGTTTGGCTTTTTCTTGTGTGAGTTTGTCCAGCAAATCCACACACTCTTTGCGGACGAGCAGACCGACATTTTCACGACGGCTGTTCACATAATCCTTCATAGCACTTATATCGTTCCGGCTGGCGTGTTCCGCGCCTTTACTAACCAATGCATGGACACGAGTACTCAGGTCTGCGCCATCAGCCACAGCCGAATGCGCCGTCGGACCCGTGACGGCAACAACTCTTCGGATCCCGCGGGCAATGGACTCTTCGCTGATGACTACAAACTCCTCAATTGCACGCGAATTATTCAAATGTGTACCACCACAGAATTCCACCGTCACATCACCCTCACCACTTGCCGCACCGCTCACTAAATCCGGAATTTTGGCCCCAACTGATACCACGCGTACAGGGTCTGGATAATTCTCACCGAACATGCATCGCACACCTCGTATACCCTGTGCCTGCACCAACGGGACTTCAGCAACGTCAACATCGTGCTCGTCGTGGATTATGCGCCTCACCGTACCTTCCAATTCAGAAATTTGTTCTTGCGTCAGAGCCTTCTGTGAAGTAAAATCAAATCGTAATTTCTTTGGCTCCACAATGGAACCCGCTTGATTACAATCCTCGCCCAGAATAGAACGTAATGCGCAGTTCAACACATGTGTACCAGTATGGTTCTTTGCAATCTCACCACGACGCTCAAAATCATTCACCAAAGTTAACTTGTCACCCACCTTCAACTCCCCGTCATTCAACCGACCCAAATGCAACACATAACCACCCACCTTACGAGTGTCTTCCACCACCAGATCAATACCATCTCCCGTTGCATAACCCTTGTCGCCAACTTGACCGCCCGATTCCGCATAGAAGCACGTGCGATCGAACACCACAAACAACTCGCCACCCGCACTCGACTTACAACTTGGAGCAAAATCATGCCCGTCGAAAATGGCCTTAACCTCCACCTCCATCGGCTCCCCTTTCCCGTGGTCTGCATCCCACACATATTTGTGAGAGTCGTCCGTCGGCTCCACGTCGAACTCAGTCTTCAGTCGGTGAATCTGTTCCGGCGTCAGATGCTGGACAAGCTTCTTGGCGTTGCCACCATCCGAGGCCAGGTGGTGAGCCTCCATCGCCTTCTCGAATCCCTCCAGGTCTAACTTGAGCCGCTGCTCCTCACACATCACTTCCGTCAAGTCCACCGGGAAACCGTACGTTGCAAACAACTCGAAACTAACCACACCCGTTACCATGTCCCCTGGCTTCAGGTTCTTTATGGCCTTCTTAAACAGCGCCGTACCACGGTCCAGCGTCCGGTTGAATTGCTGCTCTTCGCACGAAATGACTTCCACGATCTTCTCAGACTTCTCCCGCAACTCCGGGAACGCCTCCCCTAAACTTTCAATAACAGTGCCGGCCAACTGGCTAAACCAGGTGCCCGTCTTCGGAGCATTCAGCACCTGGCGGCCATACCGAACCGCCCTTCGCAAGATTCGTCGCAACACGTAGCCGCGACCGTCGTTGGATGGAATGGCGCCGTCCGCAATCGCGATGCTCAGGGTCCGGATGTGGTCTGCAATCGCGCGGTAGGCCAAGTCAATTCTCTCTGGGTCTTCGCTGCCCACCTTGCCGGTGTACTCTCTGGGAGCGTCGGGACACAATTCGTGAATTTTTTTGAAGAGCGAAGTGAACAGGTCTGTATCGTAGTTCGACCGCAGATCATTGAGAACACTAACCAGCCGCTCCAGACCCATGCCTGTATCAACGCATGGGTGCGGAAGTGGGGAGAGTTTTCCGGAGTTTTCGCGGTTGTATTGCATGAAGACCAAGTTCCAAATTTCCAGCACATCTGGGTCATCTTGGTTAACCAGTTCAGGACACTCACGTCCGCCAATGCGATCGTAGTGCAGCTCCGAGCAGGGTCCGCAAGGTCCAGTCTCGCCCATCTCCCAGAAATTTTCCTTCATGCTTCCAGGCAACACGTGCGACTCGGGCAAATATTTCAACCAGTAGTCGCGCGCCTCAAGGTCAGGCTGCAGGCCTGCCTTTTCGTCTCCGCCAAAATACGTCGCATACAGCCGTGCTGGCTCCAGATTGTAAACCTGAGTTAAGCAGTTCCAAGCGAACTCCACTGCCAGCTCCTTAAAGTAGTCACCGAAAGACCAATTGCCCAACATCTCGAAAAACGTGTGGTGGTACACGTCCTTACCCACGTCCTCCAAATCATTGTGCTTGCCACCAGCACGAATGCACTTCTGCGTATTACACGCACGCTTCATCTGACCAAACTCCGTATTCAAGTCTGCATCACCCAAGAATATCGGCTTGTACTGACACATCCCGGCATTCACAAATAATAACGTAGGATCATTGTACGGAACTACCGGCGAAGAACGCCAGAACTTGTGCCCTTGAGACTCGAAAAAACTTATGAACGCAGTACGAGCCTCCGCAGAAGACATCTCTACAATTACCACATATCAAACATGCGGTTACGGGTTGGGGCTGGTGCTGTAGGGCTGTATCATGGTGCTGTAGCCCGGGTCCCTCCATCTCAGTGTCCGTTCTCCTACTTTTGGGGGCCATCTTCGCCGAAAAATTTGAGTACAGAAACACCCGGTCGAGAGAGAGGGAGGAAGGGCAACCTACGTGAAAGGGCAACCTGCGTGAAAGGGCAACCTTTTCTTTGGTACGTACGTACCTGGTCCTATGGGACAGTATGAGGGGGAGGAGTTGGGACACAGTCATTGGTGGGGCAAATCGAGTGCGTATGTCGTTGGCGTAAAAAGTGTTTATTCGCAGAGCACGACTTCGACATCGACGTTGTGTTCCACGGGAGCCAAGTTGGAGATGGAGTTGAGTTGGGCGGAGGTGCCGAAGATGTCAATGATCCTCTTATACATCCTAAGTTCGAATTTGTCCCAGGTCTTGGAACCCTGGCCGCAAGGGGTCTTGCGGGTGGTGATGCGAAGCTTGCGGACGGGGAGACGGACTGGGCCGCAAGTCTTGAATTTCTTGGTCTGAGCTGCCCGCACGAAGTCAGTGCATACTAAAGCGAAAAACATTGGGCAAGGTGGGAATAGCCGGGGCCATGCGTGCTGAAGGCCGGGGAAGGCTATGCTGGACTAGCCTGCGGGTGATATAGCCCGTCAAGGTGTGCCAGCAAGGTTAGGTGTGGAGTCGTCGTACCTCTTTCGATGGCCTTCAAGTCAGTGGAGTGGAGGGTGAGACGGATGCGTTGCTCGGGTTCGGGTTGCGCGTCCGGATGAGCCGACTCCTGCTGGAACTTCTTTTGGTAGCTGGACATGAAAGAGCTGACTCAAACTCAGCGCGGGCCGAAAAAAATAGACACATCCCGTTTCGTCTCTGAGATGCTGGAAGCACTGCAGCGAGCCGTCCAGAGCAAACGTGTGTGCTTCATTACTGGCGCAGGCATCAGTGTCAAGTCCGGCATCCCGCTTTACCGTAGCGACCGCCATGCCACGCAACAGTCCGCCAACCAACAGCTGCAGGAACGTCTCGGCGCGATTCCTCACGTCTTCGAAGACCACAACGCGTTGCACCGTGCAGAAGCTCCGCCCTCCGACTCTGAACGCGCTTTCTCTAAACCCCGGGGCAGACCACCTCTCCGCAGATACTTCCACCAAGCTCCGCCCCGGCAGAGGATGGGCACGGACTCGGGCTCTGGCTCGGAGGACGACGACATCCAAGTCCTCATTTCCGACGAGGAAAGAGAGCTACCTCCCAAGTCCAAAGTCCCGGCTGGGCAACTCTCAACCGCTGTGGGGTCTACGGTACCATGGACTGCGGAACCAGGGAGCGGTGCCGGCATTCATTCGGGCAGCACCGAACCGCAGACACACAACAAGCGCACCACCGTCGACCAAGTGGGCGCCTTAGCTGGCGGAATTGCACACCCGACTGTACCACCCTTTAGCATGGACGGGCGACCGGCAGTGATTTACCCAAGTGTTCCAAGACCGGCTGTGATTTGGCCCAGCTTCTCTCTTGCGTCCGATCCGGATGCCACTTCGCCTAAGAGAGCGGCACAAGAGATGGAGATGAAGACGGCCGCAACCGAAGAGCAGCAACCTCCAGCGCGAGGCACTCCCGGGCAAGGAACTGCCGGGCAAGGCACTCCCGGGCAAGGAGCTGCCGGGCAAGGCACTCCCGGGCAAGGAACTGCCGGGCAAGGAACTGCCGGGCAAGGAACTTCCAAGCAAGGAACTTCCAAGCAA